TTATAAATTATTATAATTTATAAGTACCTTAATAAGAAATTTATTACCTTTAAAATAATATTTTTAAACTTAAAAGTATTTTATAATTATAAGTATTTTAAAATTATAGGTTTTATAATAGGTTTTCGTGTTTTTTAACTTATAAAACTAAAAAGTAACTAGGTGTTATTATATATTTTTTACTAGCTAAAATAGTATTTTAGTAATAGCATACTTTAAGGCATTAGTTTATAATTATATATATAATTTTAAATTAAAGTATTTTAATAAGGGCTATTTTATAAACCTAAGGCATAGTATATTAAATATTTTTAATACTTTTTTTTTAATAAGTATTTTATAATTATATTAATTTTTATAAGGTTAAATAGCGCTGCTATAACTTAGCTATAATTTTTAATAAATTTTTAGTAAAAGTTATAAAATCCTAAAAAAAATACTATTTTTTTTATATTTTTTAGCATTGGCCACTTTATAATAGTTTAAACTTTTTTTAATTTTATTTTAATTTTATTAATGGTTATAATAAAGCCCAAGAAGTTAATTTTTTTTAATATAAAATAAGTATTTACTAACTTTTATATATAGCTTAAAATCACGCAGTTTCTTAAAAACTATTTATATATATTATTTATGCTTCTTCTTATTTTCTAAGAAAATAATAATATTATTTAAGTAAGTAATATAAATTATATTAATTAGCCTAGCTAGGGCGTGGTTTATATAAAATTAAAATATTACTAGTATATTTACTAATTTAAAAAGTATAACTTAATATTTATAAAGCCTAAAGCGTGTTTTAAACACTATTTTTTACTTATTTTTTTTATAAATTTAAAGCCTGTGGTATGTATTATATAAATTAAGCTATATAAAATTTTTTTTTATTTTTAAATAATTAAGAGTTATGTTAAGTAATAGTAAAAGGTATATATTTTTAATTATAATAATATTTAGGCCTTAGTAATTAATATAAAAATATAGGTTATTATTTTTTTTTAATATAAATAGTACTAGAGCTCCCGCAGGGCTTTTTAATAAATATATTTAATTTTTTTTTAAGGCTTTTTTAATATATTCGCGTAGGACCTTAAGCTTTTTTAAAAATAATAAATAAATATACTTACTTAAAGGCTTAGCACTAGGTTATAACTTAATTATATAATTATATAAGTAATAAAATATAAAAATATTTATTTTTACTTTAAAAAATATATTTATATATTTATGGTATTATTTAGGTAGCAAGATTTTTTTAACCTTTATTTTATTAAGGTATATTATAACATAATCTTCTTGCTTAAAAATTTATATTAAAAGTATTTTAACTTTTATAGTAATTTTTATGGTATATTTTTATATTATTATTATATACTATAAGTATTTAAAATTATACTTTACTTTTTAATTATATATTTAATTACTAGTACACTAGTTTAAAATAAGTATTATAGTTAAAAGCCACGGGAACCTTAAAATTATATTATAATTATTAATATTAATAGCTTTAAAGTTTTACTAATAATATTATATATTACACGTAAAATCTCTAGCATAAACTATAAGTATATATTTTTTATAAAATATTATTATATGGCTATTAATTACATGTACTTTATAAGTTAATTTTTTATTTTATATAAGGTAAGACTTTACCTAGCACTAGTTTATAAAATTTACTTTTATTTTAAAGTTAATAAAAACTCTTGTATATTATTATTTTTTATTTTTTTTTATTTTTACCTAAATTACCTAGGCCCGTGGCGCACTTTTTTTTTTATATAAATTTTTAAAGCTTATATTATATAAAGCTTTAAGGTTTTATATTTTTTATATTACTAGATTTACTTGGGGGTTACTACTATAAAAATGCTTTTTTTTAACCTTTGCCTAGTAACTAATAATATTATTTAAAGTACTTAATATAATTATAATTTAGGTATTTGCCTAGGTATAGCTTTTTTATAAATAAGTAATTACTTAAATTACTAGGTTATTTTATGCTAGTATTTACTTTTATACCTTTTTTAAAAGTAAATAGCGCTTTAACTTTTATTATTAATAACCTAGTATGTGTTTAGTTTAGGAATTTTTATTTTTTTTTATAATAGTCTTTTTTTATTTAGGCATGTTATTTTTAATACTAGTTAAATATAATATATAATTTTTATAATATTTTAGTTCTTAGTGCTTGTAAATAAGGGATTTTTTTATATATTTTTTAAAATTTTTTAATATAGGTGCCCTTTGCGCTGGTTATTTTTATATTTATAAGATAAGTATTTTTTAATTTAATTTAGTAATTATATAAATTACCTAATAATTTACTATAGTTACTATTTTATATTACTTTATTTAATAAGTAAATTATTAACAAGCATAGTTTTATTATTAATTATTTTAACTAGTGGATTAAGGAATTTTTTTTAAGTAAATATAGGTTTTACCTTATAAATATTAAATTATTTATATTAATAGTTTTTTGCTAGGAATTTAATAAACCAAGATATTTTATAATTATTATTAGGATAATAGGTTAAAAAGGTTTTAAAGTATATTTTTATATTTAATTTTTAATTATTAAATTTTTTAATATTATTTACTTGGTATAATTTTACGGATAATAGTTTTTTTAAAAAGATTTTTTTTAGGGTGTGTAGTTATTACTATAATTAATTTTATAATAATTTTTTTAAGGTTTGCAAGGGTGTTAAAGTTTATTTAATAAAAAATTATTAATTACTTAATAAATTAAATAAGGGTATTATATATTTATTAATTAGCTTTAGCTATTATAATTTACTAGCATGCCTTTTTAATTTAGGCATGGATTTATTAATATTTTTTTTTATAATATTCTTGTTCCTGTAATTCCTTTTTTTTTACTAAAATTATATTTAGTATTACCTATAGTTTTTTAGTAATTTTTTTATTACTTTTATTTTTATATTTTTAAGCAGGTACTTTGTGTTTTAATATTTTTTATATAATTTAGTTTTTATTTATAGGGGTGCCCTAAGGTTTTTTTAATTAAAAGTTTATAAATTTTTTTTAGGTATATTAATTAGTTATTAAGTTAGGGTTTATAATTACTTTTCTAAAGCTTTATTTACTAGCCCCTAGAATTAAGTTTATTACTTAACTATTATATAAAATAAGTTTTTTTTTAAAAAAAAGAGTAATTAAAATTATAAGGCGTTTTTATATACTATACTAAGCTTAAAAAAATATAAATTATTATAATAAAAAAGTATTATATATTTATAGTAGGAATTAATTACTAATTTTTTAAGTTAAAGTTTTAAGTTAAACTTAGTATTTTATATATTATATAATTAACCACCGCCTTGGCGCGTGGTTAGATTAGCGCTAAAGTTCCTTTATTAAGTGGCCTCAGGCCGCCGGATTGCGTTATTATAACACTGCGCAGTTGCAACACCATAGTGGTAATAACACTTATTTTTAATTAATTATACGCAAGTTAGCTATGCTTGCAAAATAAAATTTATAAAAATAAAGTTAAAATTTTATAAAATAAAGTTAAGAGCTTGGGAGCAGAGTTAGGGGCTTATAAATAAATAAAATTAAAAGCTTATAAGTAGGTAAAAGTAAAAGCTTGTAAGTAAATAAAAATAAGGGCTTGTAAAAAAATAAAGGTAAAACTTTATTTTTATAAAAATTTAAAGCTTATAAAATATATTTTTTAAAGCTTAAAAGTTTGCAAGACTTTTTTATAAAGTATAATAGTTAAATAAATAAATACTAGCATAAAAAAATATGTAAAAAATATAAAATACTTAGTAAAAAATAAGTAAAGGCAGGAAATTTAAAGTATATAAGTAAGTATTATATTACTTAAGGCATGGGAAGATCTTGCAAGCTATTTAAATTAATAAGTTAGTAAAAAAAAAGGCTTATAAAATATATTTATATAATAAAAAAAATAAAAAAAGCTAATAAAAAAATATACTTATAAAAAGTAAGTAGCTTATTTATAAAAAAAGTTATAAAAAAAAATTAAACAAGAGCTTTAATATTAAGCTTATTTAAAAAAAAAAGTATAAAATAACAATATTTTATAAATATTAAAGGTAATTATAACCTGCAAGAAGGCAAGAATATTATAAATATTAACTTTTTTATAAAAATTATAAAAAAATAAATAAGGTAAAGTTTAATTAAAAAAATAAAATATAGCTAGTGCTTTTATATAAGCCTAGGTTATTAAAATAGTTATAAGCTTTAAATAAATATATTTATAAAAAATTAATAATATTTATAAGTATGCTTATATTTAATATAAGATTTTAATACTATTAAAAAATGGTTCCGCGAAATAAAGCTTAATATATTTAAGAAAAGGTGCTAGTAAAGTTAGCTATGTAAAAAAAAATATAAATAAAATATACCTTTTTTTATTATATATAATAATTTTTTTTTATAAAGGTTTTTTATATACCGGCAGGGGTTTTTTAAAAGTGTTTTATAAATTATATATATATATTTATTTATTTATTTATAAGGCTTTAAAAAACCAAGGCTATAAAAGGGGGGGGGGTAATTATAGGGCTTATTATATTATATATAGCCTTTAATAAAACTTAAAAATATTTATAAATAACTTTACTTATAAATAACTAAGTTAATTTTTAAGTACTAACTTAATATATACTAAGAATATTTAGCCTCCGCGAGGCTAGAGATTTAAACCTTAATATTAATCTTAATATTTTTACTTTTTTTTAAAATTATTATTTATAAACCTTTTTTTAGGTATATTATACCTTATCACACTATTTACAAATCCCTAAGGCCAAGGACCTTATAGATAAAAAGTTTTACAGGTGGCCATTTAGGCCGGAAGAACCTTCCTCCACCGGAGGCCTAAGGCCGCCGGCGGCCTCAGGCACCCACTTCCAGCAGAAACTACTGTCCCTGAAGTGCATGAATTGACATTTACCAAAAGTTAGTTATATTTTTTTTACTCCCTTTGCCTGCTCTTATCTGCGTAAATCAAAATCCGCACGCAGCCTTGTCCACGCCTCTTCAACCTCCACAGGAACATCCACATGGGGTATAAACCCCCGTCCTCGCGGCCCATACCCCCCCTCATCATCCTCGAGCCTCGGGATCTCCCCCATGACCAAACTGAGGAAGCGGTCCGTCGGCCAAAGTGCCACTTCCTCCCGAGGTTGGGATTCACAGTCCGCACAAAGCACCGCCTCCCCTCCAGCTTTTGACAAGCTCATCCGCGGGGCAAGGACCGGACAACTGACGAACGACGGAGGCGAAGTTGTATCCTCGTAGACCTTCTGAAACGATACCTTCGTGCGCAGCATCATCGTTGGATCCTGGATCACCACGCATGTCTGCGGATGGATTCCCATGTCCTCAAGCACCAGTCGCGTAAAAGCCGCATTCTGTCCGCAGTTCGTCGATTGATCTTCCACGAGGATCCTGTAGCGCCCGTCTTGGGTGATAGCGCCTCGATCGAAGAAGCGATCTAGGATCTTTTCGAGGACGCGAGCTTCAGGGAGACCCTTGATCTCACTGCTTAAGACCGAGAAGCGCGGATGCTGTGCGACGGCCTCGTAAAGGGATTGCGTGGAATGGCCGATGCCGCCGCAGAGGACGAGGGTCTTTGTTAGAGGTGGTTGGGTTTGGAGGGTGTGGAAGAGGGACTCGGCTTGGTGGAGGATCATGGAGGCGCAGAGGACGATGCAGTCGACTGGTGTGGATGAGGGGAGATCATGAAGGTGGATTTGTTGGTTGGCGAGGTATCCCGCCACAAGGTTTATGTCGGTGATTGTTTGGGGGTTTGTGATGGCCATTGTTTTGGGTGAGATGTAAAGTGTGCTTTGATTTGCTGGAATATGTTTTTGCAGGTTGTATGCTGTCTTCCACGCTTGTTTAGCTTTGACAGAGTGGCCCGGCGCTCTTCCCCGCGAGAATGTTACGTGCTCGCTGATTGGCCAGAGGTCTCTTACCTAGTGGATCAGTACGGACCCCTACCATTGGTCCATTAGCTTCAGCCAACTTTCTTCACCAAGCTCCTGTTCCCTCTAGCCAGGTCCCAGATCCTTCTGCTATCGCGGAATTAAATAAATAGAACGGCAAATGGCGAACACCTTCTATTCTGCACGCTCTGCAAAATAATCGGGCACAGTCATCCTGGCCAGTTACAGCGGCGCTGCGATGAGATGGCTAGGATCATCGGAGAGCGCCCGAGATATGGCCCGGCGCGAGAGGATCATCTCCGGAGAATGTTGCAGAACCTCGGTATCCACCTGCAGATTTCCTATCGTGGGAGCTGGGAATGGCAATTGGGCTGGGGATAAATTGCGCTTCTCCCGCAAGGATGAGACTGTCGCGCTGACATCTGACAATTATAGCCTCAAAAGCCGCAACAATGCGAAAGGCAAGCCCCACCATTGACTGTAGATCCCGTCACTAACGAGCCCTAGGAAGTACTCCTTCGAGTAATGTCTTGGGCATTTTTGTCTCTCCAAGCAGCTGCAACGGTTTCCGATATCCCAGGAATAACCCCCCCAATCCCGCGCGTCGCGAGCATAGCACAGGTCGACGCGTCCAAGTACTTCAAAACGAAGCCTGGCGAGTTCCAACATCCAGGGATATGGCACACGCACGATGACCTCGAGCGCGTACGTGACAATGTGCGAGCCGGAAAAGAACCCTGGTTTTCCGCTTACGCGCGCTTCGCCGCCGATTCCTACTCGCAAGCAAACTATACGATGGAAGGTCCATACCCGGTGCTCAGCCGTGGTGCGGTATTGAATTACAGTTCCTTCGCGCATGATGCGCGCGCTGCGTGGCAGAACGCCTGGATGTGGTATATCACACGGGATCAAGCGCATTGGGAAAGGAGTACGACAATCCTGGATGGGTGGGGATCAACACTCACCAACATCGTCGGTACAGATCGCTCTCTGATGATCGGACTGGACGGGGATCTGTTCGTGAACGCGGCTGAAATCATGCGTTGGGAGGGTAACTGGACGGAGGCTGGCGCCAAGTGGCAGGGTGGCAGCGGGTTCAGTATCCAGCTCTACTGGCTGTTTTCGCGACAGTCCATACCAATCGGACAGGCGAACTATGGGATGGCGAGTACCAAGGCACTGATGAGTTTCGCGGTGTATCTGGACGACGTGCAGTTGTGGAATTATGCAGTCGATGCATACATCCAAGATAACTGCGCCGGGCTGTTTGCGACGTATGAGCCGCAAACCGGGCAAAGTGGGGAGGCCGGAAGAGACCAGGGCCATGCGATGTCAGGAATCGGATGGGCGGCATATGCTGCAAGAGTTGGACAGAGCCAGGGCATTGACCTCTATGAGCTTGGTGATGATTTGCTTTTGAAAGGGGCGGAATATGCGGCTAAGTATAACTTGAACGAGAGTGTGTCGTATGATCCGAGTTGGTGCAGGTGCGAGGCGGTGCTTGTAAATGGGCCATGGGATAAGATCTCGGAGGAGAAGAGAGGAGTCACAAATGCGAATCCGATATGGGATGTGCTGTACTATCAGTATGTGAAGAAGCGAGGGAAGGAAGCTCCGTGGACGGCGAAGGCAAAGGACGAGGAAGGCTTTGAAGGGGCTGTCACGTCGAATGACCATCCGAGCTGGGGTGATCTGATCTGGGCGTATTAGCAAGAACGATCTAGTAGTTGGAAGTGTTCAGAGACATTCTGGACTGTAAGGTTGGGTACGGTAGACGCGTCGGAGTCGGTCCGGCGATTCCTCCGGCCGCGTGTCACTGTCAACACTCAACACTGATTCCTGAATGCGGGGGAGTGGCACCATTTCTCCGTGGGGATATCCCCAGATTCTGCATCCTGATCTTGATTTTGACTCTGTTTGTTTTGCAAGTATCCATCAGTTCCATTTCAAAATGGGCCCCAAACACCATGATCAATCCGACACCCACAAGTCAGACGAAGACATCCCCGCTTGCCAATCCTGCCGCCGCAAAAAGGCCCGTTGCAGTCGCGAGCAGCCGTGCTCGCAGTGCGTTAGATTCGACGTGGCCTGTATTTACGACGACCGCAGGTTGAAGCCTGGCATGCGAGCCGGTGTTGTGGACAGTTTGTCGCGCCGGATCGAGACGCTCGAGAACATGTTTCTTGGCCAGGAGATTCTCTGGAAGCAGATGTGGGAGACGCTGCACCCGGGCTCGCAGTTTCCTGGTTTGCCTACGGATGACCGACAGCTGGATGGAGAAAGCACGAGCGCGGATGGTATTCAGGACAGTCGGGAGAAACTAAAGATTTCACTCCTTGAAGTCGCTGCATCGCATAAGAACTCTGTTGGTGCTTCAGACGGGCCCCGCCCCAAGAGACAGCGGACGGAGGTCTCGCTAGGCCCCTCGCCGGATCCAGAGAAACATACCATAAGTGCAGCGGACATTATTGACTCTGACCTCCTGGGTCTTTTCGTTGATTTCTATTTCGACAATATTCATCATTGGATCCCGATTCTGCATGTTAGCCGGTTCTGCAAGAACATAGAATCCGCTGCCGGACGAACGAAGTCGAAGTATATAATCTACGCCATAATAGCAGTGTGCATTTGGTTTGTGGATGACCACCGGTTAGCGGACGAGGACAAAAAAACACGCATCGCCGAGAGCTGTCGCCAGAAAGTTCTTCTCTGTAGCATGGAATCCTTCTCAGTCCAAAACCTGCAGGCGTTGGTGATTATCGCATTCGATACAGTATGTACCTCTTGCCATATCTAGCCAACCTGCTGATTGTCAGATTGCTCGCGGCCGGGGACCTTCATCCTGGTCCGTCGTGGGCAGCATGGCTCGGACCGTGGAACAGCTCCAGCTCAGTGTCGAAGAGGACGATCTTTATAGACGAAACCAGCCGGGTGAGACTCTGATCCGACGCATGGCGTTCCTCAAGCCGTCGACCTGCTGGAGGGAAGCCGAGGAGCGGCGGCGGGTATTCTGGACTGTCTTTCTGATGGACCGCTTCTGCAGCGTTTCCACCGGATGGAACGTTAGCCTCACTAGTGCAGATGTCAAGCGTCGATTACCCTGCGAGGGAGCACTCTGGCACCGCGAAGAGGAAGCCAGGGCGCCCTACTTTGGCATTTCCGATACAAAAGAGACGGGACCTGGACAACATCGGCCGGGCTCTTTACTGGTTAATGTCAACAGCCCGCTCTCGACAGACCCCACCGAACAAGACTGCATCGGTGGCTTTGCATATTGCATCGAAGCTACCGAATCGCTCGCTCTCGTATCGAGTTTCTTTGTGCACCAGCCTCTGAACGTGCAGAACGCGGACGAGGCACAACACTGGTTAATGCGGTTCAAGGAATTAGACCTGCGTCTTGTCCAGTGCGTCTATCCGTTGTCCCTTTCAAGCCCAATAAACATTTGCGAGGCTACTAATAAGAGAACAAAACAGATGGAAACTCTTCCTACCACCAAAATGGCGCGAGGCCTCAACTCTCAATGCCGACGGCATCATGGACTCAAACCTAACACTCGCTCACATTACCCACAACACCGCCGTCATCCTTCTCCATCAGGCAATAGCGTACCCACCACATCACTGGAAATCTTCCCCGGTGAAACTACCTTCTTCCTCTTCTGCTGAAACGTGTGTCGAGGCTGCGACGGAGATTATGACCCTCGGTCACCAGTTCCTGTTATATTCACGCATGCTGACGAACCCGCAATTTTCGTTTTGTCTGTTCATCGCGGGACGCATGCTTCTCACGCACTCGAAGATTTATTCTAACGCGAACCGCATCAATGGGACTTTGGATACGTTGATCGCTAGTCTGTTTGAGATATCAGGGCGATGGGCTGGGCCGCGTCAAGCCAACGGGACCGAGAAAGAGAACCTGGCATCTGTTTTTGCCAAACGACTCGTCCAAGCGCGTGGCCTTGATGATAGCGCTAACGTTCGCCCCATCCCAAAACCTCTGAGTCTTGATATCCGGCAGACTGTATACTGCGAAGCGGAAGATGTTGTTGTCCCTTCCAACCAGAGCGTGGACGCACCAAGCCGAGGACAAGTACTAGAATATCAACAAGCGCAGGTACAAGAGCCTTGTGGACCTGGGACAGTAGAGTCGCCTGTCGCAGCAAATCCTAGTCACCAAATTGACCTAGCAAACTTCGACCCAGCTCTGACATCGGACCCATCGTTGACGCTAGCGTTCCCACCCCTTCCTTTGTCGTTTCAGCAGGGCTCCGCTTCGTTCTCTGATATAAATGCGGGGGCGGGCTCGTTTGATTTGGGCTTTGAAGCGGGAATGCGGAGTCAGGAAGGGTACGGGTGGGGTGGGATGGCCGATGCGCCGTTCTATAACGGTGTCAGTCGTTAGATCACAATGTTCGCAGCGAATCGACGTCAACACTGGGCCAAGTGGTTTACCTTTGTTGGCAGTGTTTACTGCTATGATGCAAGGAGGACAACGCTAAACTGCATTACTATCTGCTCTGGCTAGCCATCATTCGGCGCTACGACTGCGCAAAGCAATACATAAGGACCCCCCAAGGCAGTGCCATACTTCTCTTACTGGTTCCTAAGCTCCAGTTGTTGCCGCCTCTCAACTGCCGAGATGAAGGCAAAGCCGGATAACAGGCCTGCCTCGCTATCAAGGTGAAATACCGACCTTGACTAGTACACATACTGTTGACCGTCGAATCAACTCAATCAGCTTACGACCCTTTTCATTGTACTTCCATGCCGGAGGGCTGGTAAGGGAAATTGCAACGAGTTGAGTTGAAAAAACAAAAAACAACGTACCTTGAGTTCATCATTCTCACGGTCGGTCAGGTCCAAGAATGCATTCGCGTGGACACGAGTCTGGTTCACCTGGCTCTCCAAGCCTGAGGCCAGCTCGGGGGTAGAGGCGCCAGTCTTCTCTCGGTTTCGCCAGATGTACATCATTCTCAACGCAAAAAGGAGAACATTAAAGAGCCCATACAGACAGAAATGCGCCGTGAACCCTTTCGCATATCGCGGGGCATCTGTAGATTGAAAGATCTATCCGATCCCACCAGTTCATGGTCAATATGCCGCATGGATGGATTGCCACACAGGGGCAAAGTACGTACCTGAGGAGCGGTAGCGTTACCAGCAGCCCATGCGATGAAGGTCATAGCTAGCACTGTCGACTTCTTGGTCTGGCCGGCGACGTTGCGCGATATGAGCGAAAAGAGAAGGTTGCCTTCGGCTAGGACAAATTGGGTGCAGTAGAACGCAACCAGGAGGCCTACGCGCGTTGCTGGCGAAGGTGAGATGGAGTAGATCACCGCTGTGCCGGCTATGGCCGGGCTATAATACGTCAGAGAGACAACTTAAGACAGTGCGAGAGGAAGAAATGGAATCAGAAAGAACTGACAAGGTCCACAGATGCATTATCACGACGGTCCGCCGACTCCAGGTCGCCAATGCCGCACCGCCGACCATAACAGCAATTGTCACGCCTCCCTGCGCGATATTCAGCAGCTGCGTCTGCAGCGTCGTGAATCCGAAGCTTTTGATGATGATGTTCGAGAACACGCCCAGCCCGCCAATAATCAGCGTGCTGCTCAGCTGGAGAAGGACATACAGCCAGACGATCGGATCCATGAGAGCCTCAAGCATCTGGTATTTCTTGAAGGTTTTATTCTGGATTCCCGTGTCGTTGGCACGTACGCGCTCGACCATTAGCCGCTTGTCCTCTTCGCTGAAGCATTTCGCCTTCATCGGACTATCGGGGATATACCAGCCTAGGAAAACGCCCCAGGTGCAGGTTGCCGCGCCGAGAACGAGGAAGAGGAGCTGCCAGGAACGGATGGCGTGGCCGATATAGTGACTTGTACCCCAGGCTAGGATACCGCCGATCTGTTCGATGCATTGTTAGCAGGCTGGAGGGATGCAAGGGGAAGAGGGTACCATTAGCTGGACACCAGTCACTGTAGTTGTTAGTGCATGCTCTCGTTGCGTTGACTAGGAGGGGCATACTTGAGTACCATAGACTCGTTAGGACGGTCTGTTCCTCTCGGGTGAACCACATGGCTGTCATGATGATGAAGGTCGGTTGGACACAGGATTCAAAGACACTAGCTCGTGGTCAATACGAGAACTAACAGAGCCGATGGGTATTGCCTACCCCAGCAGAAATCGAACGGCCATGAGACCGGGAAAGTTGGTAGCAGCTGCGCTGCACTGGGCGATATTAGGACGATGCCTGGAACTGCATGTGGGGGTAGACGCATACCATGATCACTACCCCCCAGAGAAACACACTTTGAACAAGGATCAGTTCAGTTCAATCTCTGAGCAGGACACGCACTTTCCAGCCAGATACTTTGCAATAGGAAGCTTCTGAAGCAGGAAGTTGGTCGGATATTCTCCCACCAAGATCCCAAGATACAGAATCGTCCCTGAGGAGTCAGCGACCCCTTCATTGCGCCGCAGGGGAGAAACTTACCCAGCCAGTTGTATTTATCCCCATCGAGTCCGGCATCCTCCTGGATCCCCATGATCGAACTGAATCCCAGGGTGCCTTTGTCCAGCGACTGGCAAAAGTACGTCTGAGAACATTAGAACCAGCCAGTGAGGGGTTCGGGACATGTCACTTACCCCAAGCATACCCACGAGAATACGCCGGTTGATCTGCCAGAAGAGCCGGCGGTTCGTCGCCTTGTCAATACTGGCAGGGGCCCCGGTGGTGTACGCCGCAGTTTCGTCATCAGCAGCAACATGTCCGAGGCCCTTTTCAGGGACGGGATCGGCGTGCTCGTCGTGGGCGGAGCCAGCGGCCTTGTGGGTGTCAACAGTATCAGCCATTTTGGCTTTTGGTGAGATTGATGGTTTCTGGGGTGAATCTGGGGGCCAAGCCAACGGTTTTATCACAACCCCGTTTGGCAATGCAGGCCGGAGGGTCTCCGGGACTCGTCCGATCGTCGGCCTCAGCTCCGGCGATTGCGCCGGCGGCGCTATAACAAGGCTGGACACCAATCCTGACTACATCCTCAACCCATCAGCTTGACGCCTTTAGTCGCTGACAGTCTCTCCCTGCCATCGCCATGCCTCCAAGCGCACTGTCTCCCAAACAGTCACTCGAAGAGCTTGACACGAGGAGCCCGCAAACGACATCAAAAAACACAAAAACTACTAGCCGGAGTCAAACCATCCCTGATTCCATAGTTGAGGCCCTCTACTCGGAGTCTGCAATCCTCAAAATCTGGCTCGTCGCGCAAAAAGCCCTAAACGCCGTTTCTCCACCGGTGCTATACCCCGAATACACAGACCGCAACAAGACCTACGTCTACCGCTCCCTCGACTTCTGGACATCCGGTTTCTTTCCAGGATCGCTATACCTTCTTCTCGAGCGACAGGTCAAGTATCCTGACTTCTACAGCTGTCGCAATGAGACGCCCCTCCCGCATCGTCTTCACCTCCAGCACCTATGCCAATGGTGGAGCGCAAGCCTGCACCAGAACGCCGCAAGGCGCGACACCCACGATTTAGGCTTCATGATTGCGCCTTGGGCTATCAAAGCATGGGAGTTACATCGTGATCCACAAGCTTACAGCAGTATTGTCCTTGCGGCACACTCACTTGCAACTCGCTTCGATCACCGGGTGCAGTCGCTTCGGTCTTGGGATGTGTGTCATACGATGAAGTATTCATTCACAGATCCAGCACAGGACTTTCTAGTCATCATCGATAACATGTTAAATCTGGATTTACTTTTCTGGGTTGCGCGGGAGACGGGCGATACAAATTTATATGAGATCGCCGTTGCGCATGCCCGGAAGACACAGGAGCATCATATCCGGCCAGACAAGAGCACCGTCCACGTCGTGAACTATGACGCTGATGGAAGTCCTAAGTCCAAATTTACGCATCAGGGCTACAGCAACGAGAGCTGCTGGAGCCGCGGCCAGAGCTGGGGCATCCTGGGATTCATGCAGACGTATGAATGGACGAGAGACGTCTCATTCCTACAAACTGCAAGAGAGCTAGCGGATTACTTCATCGAACACTTACCCGAGGATGCAGTCCCGTTCTGGGACTTTGATGCCCCCGTCAATGCGTCTTGCCCGCGAGATACCTCTGCTGGAATGATAGCGTGCTGCGCCTTAGTCCTGCTGCATAAGGCCCTCAAAGAGAGTGATCTGAGCGCTGCTCAGCATTACCTCACCTCCGCCCTCCGCATTCTCGAAGGCACAGTTGCCAAATTTATGACCCCATCGCCACTGAAATTCGGCGTCGACTCGTCAGCGGCTGCTCTTCCCACCGTCTCTGGTGAAGAGCGCGTCAAACAACCCGGTACCCTGACCGTCTCACCGAATGAGGCTGTTAACGGCTGTAATGAGAACGGGAATGGGTCGAATCTGCACTGCCCCGAGACGATCCTTGACGCGGCCACAGTATGCAATTATGAGTCTGCGTCGAGGCGGTGGGCGGATCATGGGCTTGTTTATGCGGATTATTATTTTTTGTTGCTGGGGAATATGTTGTTGGAGTTGGGGCTTATCTTTACAGCTGGAGAGCCTAGGGTTAGTTCGTAATATACTACAGAATAATTCTATATGGTCTGTCATCCTTTGTAATCTAGAAGTCTTCACCAAGTCAAACAAAACGCTGGAGTGAATGGTTTTTGTCCTGGTTTCTCCACCTTCTGTTTGCCAATGCTTGCTAGGTATTATGCAGATACCTCTACAATTAAAGTGGATAAGCATAAAAAAGGTTTGCGGACTTTCTTTCTCCCACTAAGAATAGTTTTTTTCACGCCCTTCATTGACACTCTCCACCTCTACTACCGTAATTCAACTCACCACTTGCACATCCCATAGTACTACATAAGGACAACCACCCCAGTACTCTCCTACGCCTTCTCGCACACAAAACACTCCATCCTAAAATAACACCCCTTGCGACATAAACCTGGAACAAGCTATTCCATCACCAGCCACCATGAACAACTCAACCCTCCACCACGCCATCATCTCCTCCTTCCTCACAACCCAACGCGCCCCAACAATAAGCGAGCTCGCTACTCGCTTCTAATGCAGCGAGACAACAGCGCGGACCGCCCTTCAAGGCCTAGCAGACTACCACGGCGTCGTGCTCCACCCGCACTCCGACGAGATCTGGGTCGCGCACCCGTTCTCCGCAGCGCCCACAACCTGCATCGTGTCCTGCGGCGAGCGAAAATGGTGGGGCAACTGCGCGTGGTGCTCGCTGGGGGTTATGCACCTCGCTACGGCTGCAGCTGGCTCTGGCTCTGGCTCTGGCTCCGGCTCTGGCTCCGACCACACCGCGACTCTAACAACGAGGCTCGGGGCCCTCGGCGACGAGGTGACCATCACCGTGCAGAACGGGGAGCTGCTAGACAGCGCCAAAGACTACGTTGTACATTTTCCGATCCCCATGCGCAATGCCTGGGACAACGTCATCTACACCTGCTCGGTTATGCTGCTGTTTCGCGATGAAGCGGAGGTGGACGAGTGGTGTGTCACCCGGGGGATCGCTAAGGGGGATGCGCGGCCCATTGGGCAGGTTTGGGGATTTGCGAAGGAGTGGTATGGGCGCCATGCTGATGAGGACTGGACGAAGTGGTCGGTGCATGATGCGGTGGAGATGTTTGGGAGGCATGGCCTTGCTGGGCCGGTTTGGTCGATTGGGGATAATGCAGGGCGGTTTTAGGCGCAGCATGTAAGGGCAGTTATTCTTGCTAGGCCATAATTAAGGCTATGCTTAGGTAGTATAGCGAACTGAGCTACTGGACAAGGGCTATAGGCTATAGCAGGGCGAGCCGTATACTACGTATACATCCAATTGTCCGGTCTGTAAGCGGCTCAATGGTTTAATTGATTTAGTCTTCGATCTTCCCGAGTTCATTTGTCTCATTCGTTGGTCAAACATCGACCATGGAACTAGCTCATCGGCCCCTATCCCAGAAAAGCAAATTGACTCTTATATTATATAGTACAGTTTCAGAACAGACAAAGATGAGTTTACATACCTTGGAGATTTAGATTGAACAACGTTAATAATACTGTATGTCAAGCCCCTCCAAATCGTTGCCAGCTCTCCATTCCTCGAGCACGTTTACATACCCAGCAATACCTTCCCCCCAAGGGGCCAGCCTCGCCGCCCTCATGAGCTCCTCCATGTCCTTTGGCCGATCAATCTCCCCATCATTGTTGTAATAGCCCGGCGTACAGCCGGCAACACCCGCCATGGCTCCCGCCCGGCGAACAATCTCTTCCGCCCAGCGTCCCTCCGCCTCCTCCGTGGGCTCAATGACGACCTTACTCCCCGGTCCCGCCTGCCGCAAGGCCGTTGAGATGATATACGCCACATGTCTAGACAGCTGGTCCAGAACATACATCTGGTTCGCGCAGACCCCGATCTGATGGGGGCCCGGGTACCAGAGGTTGGGGAAGTCCGCCGAAACAACGCCGTGCAGGGTCGCCGGGTTGGTAGCCCATTTCTGCGCCATGGATTTCCCGCCTCGGCCGCGGACGCTGATCTTGGCCTTTTCGGCTGGGCTGGCGGCGCCGCAGTACGTCTGGCCCGTGCTGAGGATCGCTACGTCCACTGCGTACTGTCTCTGCTCCACCAGGACGCCGTGCGCCGTGAAACCGGTGATTTCTCGGTCGCGTAGATCCACCAGCTGCACGTTCTCTCGGTTGAATGTGGGGAGGTAGTCGTCATGGAAGCAGGGGCGCTTGCACCAACCCCGGTACCAGGGCTGGAGAAGGTCTGCGGTTTCGCTGTTTGAAACGAGTTGGGACACTCGATTGCGGATTCGAGCTTGCCGTTCATGATCTGTCATGGAGACTCTTCTCAGATAGTCTTTTTCCAGGTTCCCCGGCCCGCCGACCAGCACGCTGAACGATGGCATGGTGGTCCATGCGTCGCCTACAAGATCCTCAGCCGGCAGTGGGTTCTCGTTGCAGGTGAAGGAGTTGAAGTTCTCCATGCGCCGTCTCTGCCATCCGGGCTTTGCCGATATCTGCTTCCAGGACTCAGCGTCGGTACGCTGGTTGTGCCTCCAGTCGACGGCTGAAGGCGTGCGCTGGAAGACGATAAGCTCTTTTGCCCATGCCGCAAGGTGCGGGATCGCCTGGACAGCAGTTGCGCCAGTCCCAATCACGCCAACGGTCTTCCCCTTTAACTTGTGCATCGCCGGACTCTCCGCCGATCCCCCGGTGGTTCCATAGTCCCAGCGCGATGCATGAATCAAGTCGCCCCGGTAGCGTTCTATACCCGGGAAGTCTGGGATCTGCGGTCCCGAGAACGGCCCCGAGGCCAGAACCACCATATCAGCATTCAAAGTGATATTAGATGACAGACCGTCCTGCGCGCCTTCCCGTACCGCCCGCGCAATCCAGCCCCTGTCGCCTTCATCCCACTGCAAACTGCGCAGCGTGGTCCGGAACAATGCACATCGCGCGAGACCCCATTTCTCCGCAATAGCCTCTGCATACCTCCGCAGCTCAGTGCCAGAGGCGTACTTCATCGCCGGCACGTACCCCGTTTCCTCTAGCAGCGGCATGTAGATGTAGCTCTCCACATCGCACATGATCCCCGGGTACCGGTTCCAGTACCATGTGCCACCGAACCCGCCCGCCGTGTCCATGATGGTGATGTCCCGCGCTGCATATGCCTGCGATTCAAGCAGCCGGACCGCGAACAGCAGCCCGCCGAACCCTGCCCCGACGATCAGGACCCGTGTGGATGTCGGGTGGGGGGACGAGGCGCTGTTGCTTTCGCCGCTGTTGTTGGCCCAGGGGTCGTGGGCGAGCGTGCTGAATCGCTCGCTGGTCAGGAGGTCAACGGAGGGGATTCGGCCGCGGTGTTGGAGGCGCTGACTGCGTTCGCTCTTGTATCTGTGCTCGATCTGGGCGAGCGAGTCTGGGTTGAGTTTCACTGCGTTTGATGGGCTTTGGTTGACGGGCATGGTCTTAGCGCTGTCTGGTTTTGGTGGGAAGTGTGGGCGTGTTTTCTTGACGATGAGTGATGTGATGGAATTTGTGCCTGCAGATGGATCAGGGCATGTCTGCTATTTCAATCACGTATCCAGGGATAGATTGATCCAGTAAGGCTTCTTGTATTGGTGCAGTGGGAATTGGCCGCTAGCGCTGTTAGTCGGCGGTGCTGAGAGAAGTACAGAGGGGCCAGTCCTAGTATACCTATTGGTTGGCGGCATGTTATCAGAACAGCCGACCCGTGATCGTGGGTCTTATAAGGCACTGCAAATAGAAGGGTGGCCTTATATCTGCCCAGTTGGTCCCATGGGTTGGTGCAAGTAAATACCTAGACTAGTGACAAGCCAATCACATTGCGTCGGCATGTATCCGCTAGCGTGAACTAGACCCATTCTTCAAAGTATGATTGGCCTGCCCCTTTGTATATCATTGCCAAACCCAAAGTCATAGTCCGTAACTTCTGGCTCTCTGGCTTCCTCGCTTTCTCAAAATGACCAGACCCAGTCACCACTCTCATACAATCAAGAATCAAAGCCCATGCTCCCAAGTATGACACCCCCATCAGTCGCCCTGTGCATAGGATCGCTATCATGTCTATACCTGATCTCAAAGATAATCTCCCTATCCAGATTCTACAGCCAAGCACGCCGAAGCGGCTTCCCGATTTTCGTCGCTCCTTTCCCCTCCAAAAACATCCTCTGGATGGTCGTCACTCCCATGCTGCAGCCCCATCTTCAGAAGTACCTCCCCAAGCGTCTTTACGCACGTATCGACCTGGCAATCTATGGCTGGGAGTTTCGACGGAAGGATGAGGTGCATGGGAGATTAGGGAAGACGTTTGCGTTGGTTACTCTGGACGAATGTACCCTGTGGCAAGTTGTATGATTTGAGACGATGCATAGGACTGGATTTACTGAGACCGTGCCCAGGGTAGCGGATCCAGCACTTGCGTCGGCTATACTGCAGCGGAGAAAGGACTTTCATCAGCCGGCGGTTGTGGAAAAGGTCATGGGGATTTTCGGTTCGAATATTGTCACTGTGAGTCTCGTGGCTTTTCCTCGCGACTTTATCCTAGGTGCCGATGCTAAACGGAAATGGAAATTAGTCCAACGGTGCGACATGGTAAGACATGGGATTCGTTGATGATTGCCTACCCCTGAGCTTACTTGCCCTGTATGACGAATACTGACGGGTCTCGTTTTCTTTTCTTTTCTTTCCAGGCAACGCCAGCGCAGAATGATCGTACCGAATTTCAACGAAAATATCTCGCAAACGGTGTGGAAAGAGACCTGTCGGCAAGCGCAGGAAATGCAATCTTACATGCTGCTACGTCCTGGAAACCAAACTCTGAGCGGGCTGCGGTGCATTGCAATCAATGTGCTTGGGTTCGCTGGATACGGAGAGAAGCAGGAGTAGACAGCCGACCCTCGCAGCTTTGCGCAAACCATTGACGAGGGGAAAAATGCTTACTTCGAGACGATCTTGCTGGTCGCGGAGATGCTTCTGGAGGCTGCTTTGATTCCCGCTGCAGTTTTGAAACTGTGGTTTATGCCGGCGCGGTTGCAGTTATTGGGCCGTCGAAAGGAGAAGATGCCCGCGTATACCAGGGCCGTGTTGGACATGGAGAGACGCGCGGCTGGCGAGGAGCCCACATCGCACAGGAGCTTCCTCAAGATGCTTGTGGGATGCGCCGAAGAGGCAAAAGGCGCCAGTGCGTCCGATCTCTTTCTCACGGATGATGAAATCAGCGGAAATCTGTTCATCTTCAGCGTTGCAGGCTTCGAGACAACCGCCAACACCATGGGCTATGCGGTTATGCTCTTGGCGGTCTACCCCAAGTGGCAGACGTGGATGCGCGAGGACATCCAGCATCTTCCGCTGGATCCATCGGTCTGGAAGTATGACGAGGTGTTTCCAAAATCCACTCGCATTTTGGCGGTGATGGTGAGCTACTTCCGCCGCAATATCCCCTGCCCTCCGGTAATCTAACATCCGACCGCAGTTCGAAACCCTCCGTCTATTTACCGCGGTAATGCACGCAACACGGTCCGTCGCTGAGCCCCAGCAGGTGGCCGGGGCAGCATCAACCTCCCCGCACCTGCTCCTCCCCCCAATGGACATATTCATCTCGATGCAGATCATCCACGCCGACCGGGATCTATGGGGCCCTGATTGCGCGGATTTCAAGCCATCACGGTGGATTGACGGTACCGGCCAGCTAGTCACCCCGCCAAAGGGCACGTTCATGCCGTGGTCGGGAGGCCCTAGGGTCTGTCCGGGGATGAAGATGGCTCAGGTGGAGTTTGTTGCAGCTCTCGCGGTTCTCTTTCGGTCCGTAAGGTGTGACCCCGTCCCCCTTGGAGGAGAAGATCTGGACGCTGCAAGAAGGAGGCTGCGCGGATTAATGAGGGACCCTGTTGCTCAGGTCTCGCTGCAGATTCGGGATCCGAACGCAGTGGTACTGCGGTGGAGTGAGATTGGGAGGGGAAGTGGAGAGGGCCGACCAGATGCTCAAGGGTAGAATTTGTCTGGTTTTTTACAGAGGAAATCTCCCCAGTAGACGCGGGTTAGCCGGCGGTCATAATCTTCGCGAACTTGTACCATTTGCCTGTTGTGTCGCTTTTTTTGTGGGAGAGCCAGGTGTTTGTGCTTGTTAGGAGAGAGGAGATGGTGGAGAGGTATGATGTAAGCTCGGTGCCGGGGTTTGGAGGGTCAGGGAGGGATTGCGAGGTAGGTGGGTCGTTTCGGTCGTCCTCGCCGGGGTTTTGGAGGTTGGTCTTGGTGGTGCTGGTCGTCGTGATGGCGGTAGTAGCGCTGAGGCTGGTGTTGATCGTGGAGACGGTGGGATTGGTAGAGGTGGTGGTGGCAGGTGATGTTCCAGTGAGAAGAGCGATAAGGAAATCAATAATGAGGTGCACGAATGGGGCTGGAGTGACGGTAAGTTCAAGAGGGAAGAGCTTGATTAAACAGCTGGAAGAGCTGCTGGTGCCGTGCTATGTCTTGTGGCCCTGGCTTCAGGGACAGGAGGCAAGTGCACAGGCTCAGCAGGCAGAGGGCTTAATGACTGACGCTGCCCAGGTGTGTTCCTGGGTTTGAGGAAGAGGAGACTTGCAGAAAGGGGAATTGCAACTCCAGCGGAGGATAATTTGCTTTTAGAATGCGGATAAGCCCTGGATAATTGGTTACGGACGTCAATCATTCATCACAAGCTGTGGATTGTATTCAGTAGATGGCCAGTGCTTCCCAGGACAGGGGTTCTTCTGGCACTCCACTGCCCTATTGACCTATGCATTCACCTCAAATAAATATTCCACTCAAGTACGTCTAATTGTCAACGCTTGGATTTCTCAACATTAGTATAGAGAGAGATGGTTCTACTATGCACAGCTTCCATTGACAGCCTACCAGTAATAGCGCCGCGCCTCAGGTGGAATAAATACAATAGTCTTGACCTCACCCTCCTCCCCAACCCGCTCCTTCATGAGCGCCACGGTGGGCTTGGGCAGTGTCCACCTCGAGTTAATGTCGGGCCCGAGACATATAGCCCATCTCCACTTCGCCTTATCTTTTTCGACTTGCTCAATATCCGGCCAGTTGGTACCATCTTTGCCAATGAGTTCATAGTGCTCCTTGACGGCAAAGCCCATGTCCGCCCCAGGAGCGAGGAACTTGATGTGGAGATCACGCATCCTCTTTTGGTTCATCAAGCCCGGCCTTTGTGCTTTGGCGATAGCAACGAGAGACCGTAGCTTTGGCATACGGAGAGCTGCCTTGGCGAGAGATTTGACTAGGGGATTGAACGTCTTTGGCTCAGGCCTGCGACGCCAAGCGTACTCTGGCAGGTTTCCGTCGAAGAAATCTGCCCGGTCACGGTTTAGCGGCTCGCGCCAGGGGTCGTTTGAGAAGCTGGCCACAGACTCGCGGTCAGATTCGTCATCGGACCTGCCTTCGTCCTCGGTGTCCCACTCTATCTTCTCGAGTTCTTTCTCGTGGAGTTCCTCTGGTTTATATGTTGCTGGGTTACCTCCATAGTACCAACGGCCGTCATAGGTGTAAATGGGGTATGTGATCTTCAGGGATTCCAGGTAGGGAAAACCAGCCTCGTCTTCTTTTTTCTTCCCAGATGTAAAGAGCGCCGGGGAGATGGGGCATCCTTCAAGTCGTAGCTCGCGGAGACTCCTTTGGGCCAGTTTGCGTATCGCGTGGCATAACACGTCCCCAGCTGGATATGCAGGATCTTCCTGTTCTGCTACTTGGAAATCATGGTTTTCCGGTGTCTCTTCGGCCATATCAATACTCAGATTCTCCAACCTATGAAGGGTCGGCGCTTCGAGTGCCTTGGCAAGGTGAATCCGATACTCCGCGCGGAGAGCACGATTCCGTGCATGGCCAGGCGGGAGTCTCAAGTCGAGCGAGCGTAAGCAGGGCAGGGAAAGGATCATATCGCCCATCGTTCGTGGGTGGATACGACGCCCAGCCCCAAGAACCAAGTTGTAAACGCAATCCAGCGTCGGCAACTTGACGCTTTCATCGCCAAGGGCCAGGCTATATTCACGGTAAAGCCAGCGAGCCTCGTTGTCAAAGTCCCAATCCGTCCAGTCATCGGTTTCGGACTTCGCCGTCAACTCGAGTCGAAGTGAACCAGGGGCTTTGTCAGTCCAGGAGGAGAGCTCGTTCCACAGAGCTGTCACGCTTTTCTCGAATGCCGCAAGGTTGGCCTTATGCTCTTTGCGCTTCTCCAGGCAGTAGCGATGATCATCAGGATAGGTAGGCAGGATGGTTGTGTACTGAAGGCTGCTAAGAGCTCTTCGTTGCACCGGGCGTTTCCCAACGACAGTTAGCAAAGACTCCCGTGAGCCGTGACTGGATACCTCCAACCAGGCGATTTCCCGTCGCCTGAACGCGGCTTGGAACCTTTTGTTGACGAGGGCGTACGGGGGAAGTCGCGCAGGGCCGACGAGCTTTTCAAGTTCATAAACAACGAGGTGGATGAGCTCGGGGCCGAGGGAATCAAGCGACGCTGACATTCTGGAGATTGCGCCGAGGAAGCGTTGTCTGGGAAATAAATCGCCCAGCACCTTTGTCAATGGCCGAGCGCGGTATTCGGTTGGAGGGTTGGAGGTTCTGCACAGAGTTTGAAGAGCCACGGCCCGTGGAACCGAAAATACTTGGTAGATTAGGAGCCGAGTCGGCTAAACTAGCAGGTCAGTAGTTGCTCGCGCGGTCTATTAAGGTTGGCTAAGACGGAGACTCCTGTTCAAATAACGCGCCTGGAGCAGTAACAGGAGTGCGTATACTGCCGACAACAATAAATGTCGGCAGAATACGCATAACAGAGTCTTGAGTTAGCAATCCAAAACTACGTGCTGAAAGCCTATTTCGGATATATTGTAAGACAAGAAGTAGAGTTATTTCTCATCCGACCCTTGGGGACTCTTATCTCAATCTCTACCTGGCACCTTTCGTGTTGTTGAAAATGTATAAAAGTCCCCAGTATTGTTCATTTTTCTTTTGTCACCATCCCATGCTCTCAAGCACCCAAGATAGATTAACGGCGGTCTCAAGTATATAGAGATGGAAACTTCATCGTATCTTATGGAAGCTCATGAACGAATGGATCTTCGATGGCTCTACAGCATTAAGCGGTACAGGTATATTGGCTTCCCTGCCCGGCGGCGAGAAGCCTGCATTTTCACAAAGCGCAATCCATTCGTCGCGAGATAATAGTGACTCGGCCTGGCCACCTTCTAAGCGGGCATTGCTATGGGCGGGTACCGGCGTCGCCAGGGTCAAGGACCCGCCCATCTTCAACCACCTCGCCATATTCAAGACCATCTCTCTCGTTTCCGACTGGCTCAGATGATGAAGAGAGTGAATAGCGAATATGGCATCGAATTCGAAGGGCGGGTGGTATGCCATCGGACTGACCTGGTGGTAATCGCCTGGGGCGCGTTGAGCAAGGACAATGGCATCCTTGGACTGGTCGATCCCGTGGATCTCATGGCCGGCGGTAGCAAGGTGATGGATTAAGGGCAGGGAGGACTTGCAGCCGATGAAGAGGATTCGGGCGCGGCGAGGGAGCGTCTTTATCACGTCGAAGATCAACTGCGCTGTCGTGTGGCTTTGCAGGAGGTTGCAGGGGTCGGGGTTGTGCTCTGGGTAGGGGGAGTGCATTTTGAAGCTCCTCAAAGGTATGGTGAATTAGTCTCCATGATGGAAGCTGGGATTGCCGGGCTTAAAGAGGTTGTTCTCGAGAATTGCGTCATCAACACGCGGCGCTCTGGATCTTGAAAGAGATCGTGGACCTGGGCTGATGGAGTCGATCCCCGCAGGTGGATCTGGACTGTGCCTGTGCTAAGCCTCTGCTAAGCATACTGTTCTGCAGATCGGTTGCTTGCCTGTTCCACACTGAGCAAGTATTATGTTATATTGCATAATGCTGAACGCGTATATGTAATGGCCCAGAAACTTATCAGGCCTTGAATGGCAATGTACGCAGCCTGGAGGGTAGAAGTTCACAATAGCAGACTCTACTACAAGGTCAAACCAACCTCCAGAAACTAACTGATTTTCTACATGAGCTTACGGGACACTTCATTAAACAAAGTTCTGGATGCTATTTACTACACTTAAGCTCCTTATATAGACTTATTTTGTAAAAAGTGACGAGCGTGAGCCGCATGACCAGCGGCTTCTGGCGAGCAAACAGGGATCGACTTATTGATTGCACGGAGGAATTTGTCAAGTATACAATTTTGATGAGGCCGCATTTGGAGCTCTTGGGGATCGGTTTAGCGAGCGCGAGGAGAGGAGACAGGAGGAGGCTGCTGGTAACTCGGACTCATAGAAATTGATGACATAGAATGTGATAACTACCGGTATTGGGTTATCAAAGACGTCATTGCAGTTAGAATGCTAAGCTTCTCGGGCAGATCAACCAGATCGATTTCACAATATGAATGTCGCTCTTGGTCCGCAGAGGACTACCTCTTCATAGCAACCATAGCACGATACCTCTTCGCCCCCAACCTCCTACAACTCTTCCCCTTCCAGATCAACAAAATCCCACTATAAAACACCGCAAACGCCAACAGCCCCACAGCCACAAATGTATCCTGCAACCCCGTTGCCTCAATCCACGGCGAGATCGCAAACGTCATACCGCACCCAATGATATTTCGAATAACAATCACGGCTGTCGTTGCCTCGCCCGCTAGACTGGGGTAGCTCTCACTTACGTACCCCAGGGCGACCTCCGCTGCAATTGGCAGCGCACAGCCGATCATACCCATCCCAATGATAGGGCCTGACCAGTGGATATCATGGGCAGCCCCAACACCGTAGAGAATCAGCCCGGCTCCCATTATCGGACCGGCAATCAGGACGGAATACAGCCGGGCTTCGGGCTCCATGATTCCGTTGTTGCGGCGCGCTTTCCAGATCATGAAATGTCGGACGCCCGGAGGGCCGGCGCCCGGGACGCGCCTATTTTAATTAGGACTAGCGCAGCACGTGATAGTTAAGGTTTTTTTATAACTTACTGCTTGTTATATATAAATAATTTAAAGGTTTACTATAAGTAATATTATTAGCTAGTTATTAGGTTATAAGCCCTTAAACTTTTTTAATTACTTTAAAATATTATTTAAAACTTTTTTAAGTGCCTTTATAAGCTTTAAAGCTTATAATAAGTATTATTATATACTTTTTTTATTTTTTTAAAGCGTAATTTTTAATACCTACTATTTATAAATTAATAAAACTATAATTTTTTAATTAATTAAAACTTAATATTTAATATAGCTAAGCCTTAATAAGTTATTTTTATTATAAAAATACTTAATCCTGCTATAGGAATGCTTTAGTAAGTAATTTAGTTAATAAATTTTTATAATTTTTTACTTAAATAAATATATTATAAGCACCGCCTGCTTGGGGCTATAATTTTTATTATTATATATTTACTTAAAATTAAACTTTTAGGCTAAATTAATTATAATAAATAATTTAATTAAGTAAGAAAATATTTATAAGCCATACGCCTTTTTTAATTAGTTAATTTCTTACTTGCCAGGCCTTTTAAAAATAAATTATATTAAAAATAATAAAAAAATTACTTAATACTTATTATTAATTAGCTCCTGGGCTAAGTTAGCTATAAAATTTATACTAAAGTTATAAGATTTTTATATTTAATAAAGTATATTAATAAAATATTTAATATAATTTACTAGATTATTATTAAATAAGGCATACTTTAAATTACTAAAATAATGCTTAATATTATTAATATATATAAAAACTAATTCTTTATTATTTTTAAGTTTATTATAATATTTATAATCACGTGGGATATTACTAAAAACCTGCATGTTATTATTAAACTTAGTATTACCATGCTATTAATTCTTTAAAAAAATTATAGTAATTTTAAAATATAGGCTATACTTTAATAATTATTTTTAATTAATAAAATTTTAAGAAACTATAGCAAAAATAACCTAAAATAATTATATAAAAATATTATAGCTAAAGTTAAAATAATTATCCTACTTGCCACCGCGGCCCCGCCCTTAAAAAAGTAAAAAAAATAAGTTTATTATAAAAAACCTTATATTAAAGCGCTTACTAGCCCTTTAAATAATATAAATAAAAAAAAATAAGCTAATTAAATAAAGCAAGGGGATAATAAGGTTTATTTTTATAAATATTATAAATATAATAGCTACTTTTAAAAAAATTATTATTATTTAAACTTTTAACTTTAACTTAATAGCTAGATTAAGCTTTTTAAAATATAAGTACTATACCTAAATAAAACTAGCATAAAGCTATAAGCTATAACTTTATATAATAATAATAAATTTAATAATTATAACTTTAAATATAATAAATTAAAGCCTAAAATTAGCCTTAAATTTTTAGCTATACCTACTTTTATTATAACCACTAAATTAATAAAGTGGCTTATAAATATAAAATTAGCTAAGTTTATTTTTTTAAGCACTTTAATTTTAAAAATTATATAAAATATAGCCTAAACTACTTAAAATATTTATATAAAATATTTAGCAAAGTAATTAAATGTATTAAAGATTATAAAATATTAATTATTATTATAAAGGGTGTAAATAATATATATAAAAAAATTAGGGTTTATAAATATCACGCGCCTAAGGTTTTAATTTACCTATTATTTATTAAAAGGCTAAAAAAAATACTTAGCATATAATATTATAAAGAAAATAATACTTTTATTAGCTTAAATAAATTTATTATAGGGCAAGCTTACACACGCCACGGCGTCCCTTTTTTAAAGTTTATATTTAAATAATATTTTTAATTAGCTATAGTTAATATAAATTTATTTTACAAGTGCCTTAGCCACGTGGGTATTTTTAGATTTTATATTATGGCCTAGGTAAAAGGCCTTAATATAAATATTATTAATTAATTAAACTACTTCGCTTACCTTAAGGCTAAATTTTATAAAATATTATTCTAGCTTGTCCCGCAGGAAGTAAATTTAGGAAAATTATAATATATAAATATATAACTTATTTAATTAACTAAAATTAGTAAATTTAACTATTATTTTATAGTTATTAATAATACTACCTAATTAGCCACGGTATACTACGTTAAAAAAAAAAAAGTATTTTAATAACTAATATTACACTAAAAATACTATAAGTGCCTTATAAAATAGTATATTCGCGCTATTAAAATAAATAATAGTAAAAAGTTTTTTAAGTATAAGGCCTGGGCCAAACTAAAAGGTTTAATATTTTAACCTTTTTTATTAAAAATTTTAAAGTTTAATAAAATTTTAAAATATTATACCTAGTATATTAATATAATAACTTAAGCTATAAGAATTAATACTAGTTTATTAAAAAAAATATAGCCTAAAATAATTAAGGCTGTTATTATAACCTTAAATTAACTATTTATTACTAAAAATTCTTATAGTAAGTTACCTTTATAGCTATAGCATAAATATTATTAAATTAGTAATTTAATACCCTACCTTAATAACTTCCACGCTTATAGCTATAAATTATATATTTATATATTAATTAAAAATTATAAATAGTTTTATAAGCTTGCTATAAAAGTTTTAATTAGCTATTTAATTAAATATAAAAAAAATAATAATAAGATTTTTCAAGTATAGTGTAGTGGGGTTGCACCCCAACATTGATTCCTATAGTACTTATAGCCTTGCTACTAGCCTCCTGTACCTAATTTATTATTTACCCTAATATATATATTTTTTTTTTATTATTATTCCTACCTATATTACGTACTGTTTAGTCCTAGGTTTCCGCTATTATTTAGCTTTTTTAGCTTTTATACTTTAGTATTACCCCTTTATATATTAGTAATTAATATAGGGCATGTTTTTTTAATATTATAAAGGTAAAAAGGGCGCCTATTAAACCCTTAAATTAAAAGTTTTTAATACTAGTAGCTATGCCTTAGTAACTTAGGTACCTAAAATTATTAAAAAAAGGGGTAAAGAATTATTAAGGCCTAAAGGTTAAAAAAAATTAAATAGTAAGTATAAATTAAACCTAGTAGGCAAGGTAGGTAGGCCGCGCATAAAGCACCCTGGTAATTTTTAAAAAAATAATAAATTAAAAAATCCTAAGAAATGCTAATTACCTAATAAATATAATAAATTAAATAATAAAATTAATAAATTTAATATAAATATAGCTAGTAAATTTAAAGTAAAGCTCCCAGGGGCCTACCTAGGTAGTTATACTAGGTGCTTAATAATAAAATAAAAATATTTTATAAGTCCCTTTTTATAATTATAAAATTTTATTTTTTATTAAGTATTTGCAAACCTAGCCCTTTAAAAAACTATTTAAAACCTTTAATATATACAAGCCTATTACTTGCTTGCTAACTTTTATTATTAAGTAAAGATATTTTATGTATTTAAGTTTTTAAGTAAAAAAAGTGGTAAAAATATTAAGTAAATGCCCATGCTTATATTTAAAAATTTTAATAATATATCCCCCGTGGCTAAAGGTAAGCCTGGTAATATTATTAATAAAATTTATATATTTTTTAGTAACTCCCGCGGTAGTAATACTAGTACCTTTAAAAATATAAAAAGTATAATAAAAAAAAAGTATTACCCTTTATTAATTATTTTTATA